CGCTCAGAACGGAGCAAACATCGCCCAGAACATGGCAAAGATCAAAGCATTTGGATTTGCTTTAGATGAATATGTGACAAGGCTAGACGACTGTGAGAAATACCCTGCAAGTGGTTGAGACAATGCATATTTATCTAATATATAAATAAATACATATGTCTTTTGCATTCTAAGGATCTGATATATCGCTCAACTAACTAGCAGGGATAATAGACGGGCTAGGCGACTATGAGAAATACCCTGCATGCGTCTTAGACATAGTTATACATATCGATATAATACTTATATAATGCATATATAATCAACATTTAACATTCTAAGGATCTCATATGACGCTAAACGCGCTAAGCAAAGAATTTTAGGACAGGGCTAGACGACTATGTTATACCCTGCTTATCCTTTTCAGACATTGTTATACAAAGAACATACATTATACAAATATAATATGTCTATTGCATTCTAAGGATCCGATATGTCGCCCAACTAGCTAGCAAAGAAATAAGCATCTTGGACAGGGCTAGGCGACTATGGAAAATACCCTGCAAGCAGTTGAGGAATTGTTCGAAACTTTGATATATTAAAAAATATAGAATATTTGTTTTGCATTATGAAGAGTTGATACATTTAACTAGCTAGCAAGGAGTATAGTGAGTTAGAAAGGCCTGGCCGACTATAAGAAATACCCTGCAAGCAGTTCAGGAATGGTGAAAATCTCTTCCATAACAAAAAATATAATTAATGAGAGAATTCAAGAAGGAACCTAGTACTATGAAGTGCTGATATAATGCTGAGTTCCTAAGCTACCCCATATAATTTCAATTACAGGGCATTAACAAGCTGACAATTTTGACAAGAGATTAAACAAATTGTCGGCTATATAATGCACCAAATGCAAAGCAGACAAATTACCAAATGCCTAAGAGCTGGCATTATGATCTATCTTGAGTACAAAAAGAGAATGTTTGCCACAAATTGTGGCTGCAGCAGGGAATATACACACACACAGACAGTTTGTTTGAGCTCGATCTTCATGAATGAAAACTGTATGCGTGTGCAACTGGCAACTGCAGACGATGGCCAATTAATGGGCGCCAAATCTGGCAGTTAGCCAACAATAAAACGAAGAAAAAAATGATGGCTAAAATGGGCGCAAATTGCTGGCCGATCGAAGTCGAGTTCCTGGCTCGGATCGGCTGGCCGGCAGCGGCTGCCACATTTTCTCAAGCGAATCACTTTACAGGGCGCTGCACAACAATGCGCAAAGTCAAAGTCAAAGTCGGCGACGTTGTCAAAGCCAAATCCAAATGCAGTGCCAGCCAGCCCATCGTACAGCCCAACGACAACCCCAAAAAAGTTTCGGCCCACTAATCAATTTGCACAAAAACAAAAATAAACACGCACACAATAAGCGAGCACGTCGCAATAATGCAATACTCAGTTTTATTTAATTTCCATACAAATTCGATTTGAAATTCATAATAAAGAGCACAAATACACTCGTTGCCCCGTTTCCACACGTTTCCACCCGTTCGCCCGTTTTCAAGTATGCCACACAGAACGGCCCATATGGTCAATTAGTTTATGACTGGCGCGGCACAAAGCACAATGAGGAGGGCATCAAGTTCTTCAAGAAGCTTTGCGACCGCCTCATACACACACACACACACACACACACACGCACAGTCGCACACGCACACACGCCATCGCACACACATTGTTTTCACTTCAATTATTATCGATGCCACCAAAAATGAAAAAAATACCGAGCTTGTATTCGCTCAAGCGTATTCAAAGTACTCCTGAGACTTAAAACCTTTTTAAAATTTCGCAAATTTCGAATGCTAACAGCTTAATTGCACTTAGATGCTATATATGTATATATAAGATAATGGAGCTAGTCGCCTTTGCAGTTGGAAGAGAAGAAAGCAATAAGAAAGCGATATGCAATACAAATGATTTACCACAATTACAGCTCGTAATCAAGTTCTTTATATGTCATCTTCCAGTAACTTAGCTATTTAGCTAGTCGCCTTTTGAGTTGGAAGATAAGAAAGCGATACAAAAGCGATATGAAAAAGAAAAGGCGTAGTCAGGTACGAAATCCCTGCATGATGCACCACAATCTTAGTCAGACTTCGTTTATTTAAGCTAGCTACTCACTCTTTCAGTTGGAAGATAAGAAAGCGATAACAAAGCGATAGACAAAAGAAACTTCGTCAATTCTTTAGCGACAAGTGAACTCCTGGTATGACTTATTTGCGCCATGAATATTACCAAGTTATTAACTCGTATATTCCATATATCGGAGGGGGGGAAACCCTTTTTTTGAGTTTCATATTGAGCGATAAATGCAGACTGCATAAAATTGCGCGAACAAGGCGATTTAATTTGATTGATTTCAATTTGGCCCACTCCAATTTGGGCGAGAGAGATTCGAGATTCGCAAGAATAATAAAAGCGTCACATTTGATTGCATTTTTTGTGTGAAATTGGGCTGACAATGTGCGCTGACCAAATAATACAAGCGGAACCCATTCAACTGCGAACTGGCACACACACGCACACACACAAAAGGGGGTGCATCAATGGGGGTGATTGGCATTTGTCTGTGTGTGCGTGTGTGCGTGTGTGTGTGTACAGGCGCAGCCCACACCCGCTCAGCTGAGGCTCTTGTCCGCGTGCTGTGTAAACGTGTTAGGGCTGAACAAAAAAATTGCACTTTACGCAATTTATGTGCAAATTTCTGCAATGACTTTAAAGCGTTGCGTGCTTGAGGGAAGGGGAGGGGGGAGGGTAGCGGGGGCATGCAAAATGCCATTATAATCGCGCGCTAATTGAGTCTAATCGACTGGACCTGCGCACAGGGGTTGTTCGGGCAGCCCGAAAATGTATTTGAAGACTTGAAAGACTTGGCCACAATCCTTAGCCTGGCCGAGAAACGAGAGCTGAGCAGGTCTTTGGCCACTTGAATAGTTTCGGCCAAATGAGACTTAAGAACACTTCAGCTCGAGTGCGTTAAATCTGGCCATTATGCTATGCCAAAGTGCCCACAAATTAGTGCGAGTAATGTGTCTATTTAACAGCTATGGGCGATATTTAAATAAGCCGCCGGCTGAAAAGGCGACAAGAGCCAACAAATTGCAACAATTGCGGCGACAATCCGACGGCTCGAAATCCCACACACACACGCACCCATTGTGCGCTTCTCACACACACACACACTCGCACACATGACACCTTTTTGGCTAATACCTGCCCGGCGCACGGATAGGTGTCTCTGCATACAGTTGGAAAAATAATTATGCGCCTGATTTAACTCTAAATGGTTGCTAATTTGTGACAAATGGCACTGCATTTCACACACTCCGTCCCAAGTGTGTGTATGTGTGTGTGCGTGCGTGCGTGTGTGTTATCTGTGTATTTTTTAAGTGCTTTGCACTTGAATTTTACCGTTCTTTTTTCTGTGAAAGGACATTGTTGCTGGCAGCGCTAACAGCAAGTTTGACATTCGCATTGGCAGTTGAGCAGAAAATCTGCCCGACAAAATGGCTTCGCTCATCGAATTATGAATTCATGTGTGTTGACAGCCACAGAAACAAACAACAGGCACGAGTCGGGTGTGCTGCACTAGCAGCTGCCCTGCAAGGACAGCCATAGCTTACAGGTATTCGATTACATATTGTGATATGTTTAGATTTCTTCAAATTATTTATGCCATGCTTGCTTGCTACAGATTCTTTTGTATCTGCTCACTACAGATACTTTTGTGTCTCCGAGATACATTTGTTTCTCCAAGATACATTTGTATCTCAAATATACTATTGTATCTCAAATATACATATGTATCTCAAAGATACTTTTGTATTTCAAAATATTTTTAATGTCTTTGCTTATTACAGATACTTTTGTATTTCAAAGATACTATTGTATTTACATGATACTTTTGTATCTTAAAGATATTTTTATACTTTAAAGATACTTTAAAACTGACTTACGGTTGAAGGAAGTCGCATTTTGGAAAGACTCAATATTTCTTGAAATTAAACATTGCATGCATATGCTACTTAAAAGATACTTTTGTATCTCAAAGATTGATGCTCAAATGAGGGAAGTTCCACTTTGAAAAGATATGCAATCCACAGATACTTTTGTATCCCAAAGATACTTAATCAAACTTAAGCAAATATACTTTAGTTACCCAAATTTAAGTTCTTAAGTCTCATTTTTTTACATCACAAATAAAATACCTGACCCGGCCACGCCTCTAAAACTCAATTCGATTGCCTTGCGAAGTGGCTGAAGAGCTGATAAATTTATAGCCACAGCTAAGGAAATGGGCAAGGAAATTCGCATTTATTATAATCGTCGCATAATCATAGGAAATGCGAAAAGTGAAAAGAAAATTGCTGTCAATTTCCAGCGTCAGTTTACCCAATTGAGCACAATTGGCATTTTGTCATGCCTACGCAAGCAGATCAAAACAGATATATATATATGTATATACATGTAGAAGTATAAAAAAAAGTAAAGTAAAATAAAATTAATTTGCCAAAGAAGAAGGCGGCAACAACAATGCGGCAGTCGCTGCTCAAACTTTGCAATTTGTGGCGCGTTTCCGGCTTCCGCAGTTAGCGCGAATGAGCAGCAGCAGGACGAAGGACGAAGAACGAAGCAGGCAGAAGTCTATCTGACAGTCGGAAAATGGTGAAAAGGACGCGCAGCTTCAATTGTCATCAAATTCGTTTGATGTGCTTTCTGTCGCATAACAATTTTATGGCCATTCTCACACTCTCGCTCCCTCTTTCTTTCTTTCTCTGCGCTACGATTAGCGGGCACTTAGAGCAGTTAAGAGTTTCATTGAGTTTATTAAATCAGGCGTAATAATTGGGCCAATTGCGCTCTACTAAAATTGACTACAATCTCGACCTAGAAATCGATGCGGCATGCTTCACATTCGATGCCAGTTCCAGGCAGGCTATGCCTTAAGCATAGCCCAGTTCTTATATTCAAAATTCAAAATTCACAGCTCACAGTTCGAGTTGAAGACGTAAATTTTCGGTTTTTTGGTTTAGACAAAATGCCCTTCGCCGACGATGACTGGCGTCTAAATGCCACAATCAATCACATATCCAGCGAACTAGGCAAGTCAGAAAGACATGAATAGGACTTTGAACACTTGAAATAATAATAATAATAATAATAAAAATAATAATAATAATAATTATAATAATTAATAGATACTTTTTATACAAATTTATGTTTATGTCAAATTTCTGTTAACTGTTTTTTTTTTTGTATATTTCTGAAATGCACAGAGCGCACACATTTGGCCCGCTCTCCCCAGCTGCTGCGGGAATTGGACAACATCAAGGAGACCTGCCACGAATTGGGCCAGCCGGAAAGTTTTCGCTTAAAGCAGTACTACAATGAGGACGTCTGAGGTTCATCGGGGCGCAAAAAGGGAGTGAAGGAGACGAAATAAAAGAAATGCATAAACCTATCCAAATCACAGGAAAGTCATCAACGACACCTGTCGAGCTGCTCACCTGGCAATTAATAAAACGCAACGAGAAACTTGGCTAAAACAAACAAACCGAAAGGCGACAACAACTAACACGCCAGCCGAGAGGCAGCAGAGGCAGGCAACAGAAACAGTTTACAAATTGCGACAAAAGTTACGGAAATTTAATTAAAATCAAATACATTCATTTGCCAGCGCGCTTTTTGGTAGGACCAAAAAAGGGGGCCAAAATAAAGGGGGTAGCGAATTCTCAGTCAGGTGTGACTTGATAGTTTATAACACGCTTCACGAAGGGGCGAGTGTGTGTGCGGGTGTGTGGATGTGTGTGTGCTTGTCACTAGTTTTCCGCGTCGTTGAATAAACAAAATGTAAACAAAGTTTAACAGCAATGACACAGAGCACACACACACACATATACAACAGGCACACACACACACACCTAACCCCACCAAAAACTTGCACTCGAACAATTGTTGTTGCTGCTTTTTTTTATTAATATTATTTATGAGCCTGTGGTTGTTTCGAATGAATGCCTAGAGGAAAGGTGTATCTGCCAACACACACTCACTCACACACTCACTCACACACTCACACACACACTCACACACACACTCACACACTCACATACTCTCATACACACACACCTACACCAGCCTGCCTTGCCATCATTTACAGGCAGCAGCTGCTCAATTTCACAGCGCACACATTTGATTAACTTAATTTAATAGTATTTTGTTATTTTTCGTTTTTGTTGTCACTTTATTTAATACTCGTGTTCGTGTGCTTTTTGATATATTTGTTTGTTTATTTAATTTATTAGCATTATAAATAGGCACAGCTTGACGGTTCAGACCCAGTTTTTATAGCCCGTTCTGGGTCTGGGTCTGGGTCTGCGGAAAAGGGGTTTCAGGGAATTATTTCGTATTGCCGGCGCTCTCCATTCGATTCCCAATATGGAGCTTATTACAAACGAAGATGTATCTAAATAGATAGGGTAAGGTCCTGGTATAATTATTTTAACTGTGTTGGCAACAATTGTCCAAAAAGCAGCTGAGCCTTAGCTGGAAACTAAGACCAAAGTCTTGCATGTATGAAACTAGCTTCATGAGTTTAAATCTCATCAAAAATTATATAATATTAATTTAATGGACTGGATCCATTACAATTTACTTGTATTTAATTTGAAATCCAACCACAAAAAGCATTTTTCATGGCAACTCGCAAAGAATCTTTATCTATATCTTTGCCTATTTCCATTACAAAAGTATCAATATCAAAATGCACAAGCTAGCCAAGGTGAAGCCTTAAGGCAGATCCTTTCATAAAACTGCCTGCAAACAAAGGAGAGGTAAGAAAATAAATAAAATGTCGTCAATTATGTGTGTGGAGAGACGAGGCGACCATTGGCTAATGAGGACACAATTAACTGCACAATTGCCCAGCAGCAGCAGCAGTAGGAGAGGCAGCAGGAGCAGGAGCTGTGGTGGCAGCTGTACAGACTGGACCAGCTCTACCTGAGCTGTCCTGTCGAGGACTGTTGGCCAAAACACAGATAAACAACAAATCGTTTGACAAATCAGGCATGAAACCATTTTGGCAAAACGATAAACAAAAGCAACTCGGCTGCTGCTGCTCATTCTTTAATCACAAGGACACTTAAGGACGAACAGCCAGGATCAGTAGCTCAGCTGCTGCGAGCGATAAATAAGGCACAGCTTAGCTCATTGAAAGTCAGCACAAAAAGGAAAACTTCACTTCACTTTCAACGCCGCCAAGTATAAGATCCTTGCGGCTCTGGGCGGCTCACTTTGAAAACGTTACAAACAAACAAAAAGTATCGGGTATCGGATTGCGACTGTCGCCAACATGCTTACAGGGTATACAGGCGCGCATATATCCTGTCGGAAACTGTTGCGGTGATCCTCGTTGCGATCGTCGTGTCATGCGATATGCTGCGTAGGCAGCGGCAGCGGCAGCGGCAGCGTCTCAAGTCGGCGCAAATTACCGTAATTATCGTGCTGCAACAAAATGGCGCTCATTAGGCGCGCCTCCTTCAGCCGCGCCCACACAATCGGGCGCACAACGAGCCGCAGAGACAAGCGCTGCATAATTATTTTTCGCTGACAACTTTTTGATGAATTAAATAATTTTTTAAGTGCACCACAAATGATGCGCCTGATGATAATGACAATGATGATGATGATGATAATGATAATGATGATGTGGTAAACACAGGCTGAAGGATGCGCAGGACGACAAGCGGAGCTGCAATGAAATCTGACTTGAGCATCTGTTGAGCGGATTTAACTTGTTTAATTACCGTTGTATTCAGTTTTCCACGCCCTCAACCTCTCTCTCCCTCTCTCTCCCCCTCTCTCTCTCTTGCTGTCGCCGTCAACAGTTGCGCTCATTACACGGCCAGCTCGTCAAAATGTGGGCAGCCTTTCGAGTGTGTGTCCCACAACGCTTACCCGGCCGCGCCCCCTTCCCTGCTACCGCCCCCCCCCCCCCCGCCCTCTAGGTAACTGTAACTGTTGCCATTTTAATGCGCTCGAGCTCAAGTGTCGTCCCAAAATTGATTTTCATTTCATTGTTCGGCCTCTGAAGAGGTTCATAAAACTGCAAGCAAAATGGCAATGTGCTTGATTATGTTTGATACACAAACACACACACACACACAGAAACTGAGATACAAGGTGAAACTCGCTTCTGGGCTGAGCTGAATGCAAATACTGCACACACAGTCACAAAAGCAGGAGCGAGACGGAGCGATACTCGACACTCAATTTCATAGAGCCAAAAAAATACGAAACTGAAAAGGCCACTTGATAAATTTCATATATTTATAGCCCGCAGAGTACTGCGCTGCATTTGCACACTGAATGAAATTCCTTGAACACACACACACACACATACACACACGAACACAAGGACATTTCGACGGGGCCCGCTCCAAGTGCCGCCCCGGCACCATACAGCTTGGCCAAACACTTGCACAAATAAAAGATCTACTTCAACTTATTGAATTTTCGTTGATAGAAACAAGATAAAATGCGACATGGCAATAGCGACATTTCAATACGCTTCTTTCATTGACAATGATAATGATAATGATTAATGCGGATGCTAATGCAAATGTCAATGCGAATGCTACTGCTAATACTAATGCTAATGTTATTGATAATGATAATGCTAATATCAATGCCAATGGCAAAGGCAATTGTAATGATAATGACAATGATAATGAGTATGATAATGGTATTGATAATGTTATTGCTAATGCTAATGCTAATACTATTGTCAAGGCGAATGCTAATGCGAATGAAAGTTCTAATGGTAGTGATTGATAATAATGATAATGCTAATGCAAAGCCCTTCGCGTTGGGCTTTGCATTAGCATTATCAATGCTAATGCCAATGAAATTGCAAGTGATAATGATAATGATTATTGTATTGTATTAATGTATCTTTCTTATACTCTCCAGATAGTTGAACGAATGCTATTCAGATGCTTATATCTGGCAAGATATGCTAACTCTTTCAAAATAAAGCCATATTTAAATGGCATAACACTCTGGGTAGACAGTGTATATGGAGTTTGAGGTTGGATGTCTTTTGCTGCCCGCGCCCACAAAAGGCATTTGCATATGAGTTTTATGAAAGCTCCTTTGACAACGCTGACTGGGCCGCCTTTGTGGGCTGGTCCTCGACTTGCCGCATTTGTCAGTGACAAATCCGTTAAGTCGCGCATTTCGCTCATTACGACAATGATGATGATGCTGCTGCTGATGATGATGATGATGATGATGCTGCTGTTATAGTATTTGTGCAGGGAATTTAATTCTGACCCCACAGAATGGTAAGTGTAATCAAATTGCAACCCAAAAGCAGCAGCAGCAGCAGCAGCAGAAAACTTGACGGCGATTTTATTAAATTTAAGTCCACAGTTGCACACACAATGCGACGTCCTGTGGCGCCACAGAATTATTAAAAAGTAATTATGGCACAAATTACGAGATATCAATACAGCATTTAGCTCCGCATGCGGCCGGCCGGGCACAAAAAACCCGCCGTCGAGACCGGTTCGAAAAGTTGAGCCGAGGTGAGGCAAGGTTCGGGGTATGTTTAGGTTCAATTGGAATTTGTGCAAATCCTTTGGCTCACATCCTTCGCGAGCGGCTGCCGTTTCCGCTGCTGTCTGCGGCTCACAATGCGATTGCAGGCATTCTTCGGCCAGACTCCGACTTCGATTCGACTCGTCTTCTATGCACATGTGCGCAACCATTTCTTTCCGCTTGCAATTTGACATAATATCAAGATTATTATTTAATTTCAACTACTGCTCCGATCCTTGAATGAGCCGAGCTACGGGACGCATTGATGCATTGTCGGGGTTGTTACATTCCATTTATCGGCCAGCTTCGGTCTGCTCGGGTAGATCAATTCCCTTGACTTGCTGAGCATCAGAAAGGTCGACAGCTTGTATACAACTATTGATAAAAGGCCTCGAGATTACGTGTTACTTTGATGAATTGTTAATTTTGCGCTTCGATTGCGCAATGTGCGCAGATCTTGAAGGGCAACGAACCGAAATCAGTCAAACAAGTATTCAAGCGAAGTCTAAAGCCAGTCAATCGAAGAAAGAAACTACAAGGTATACCCTGTAATTTCCATTGCTTACAAACATAACTCTAGATAAGCCCCAGTTTTAGCCTAGAAATGAGGTTAAGTGTATATTCTTAATTAGTATCAACAGCCTGGGCTAGATAGCTAGGTCTGTCGATCTGTCTCTATGCATGCTAGTCTCTGAGTTTCAGGCGATCTCATTGAAACATGGCATAGATCTATTGATTTTTATAGGCAGTACATGTATCGGAATAGGTCGGAACGCACTACTCTCTTTTATAACTGCCGTAGGCAGTAAAAAATGAAGTCTATGTTCTGTTCTTCTTAGGAACTATTGGCAAGAAATTAATTGAGTTGTATGACGGATAAAGATATATATATATAAAACTGTTGACTGACTGATCTAAAAAAATATATACAGGTATATAAACCTATATGTTAGGTATACCTAAGGGTATGTAATCCCCAAGTTCGAATTGCCTTCCTTTCTTCCAGCACATAAATCTATTACTTATCCCTAGCTCTGTATAAATACGTAAGCCTAAAGCCCATGCC